CATTAATAATGATGAAATGCAATAATGTCACTGCACTAAAAAGACTAAAAAGACATTATTGTTACTTCTCCATTGAAGGTTATGAGCAGACCAACCTTTACTGGCTTAATTATTACATGTACTGCTCTGAAAACATAGCTTTTACAATTGTTTAAATTAACAGATGTTGTTCTATGTACAATGAATACATTTTAAATAATAAACCTTACTGTATTAATAACAAATTGTATTTGACAACATGAGAATGATTTTGATGCCCAGTGGTGATGTTGAAACAAACCCAGGTCCTGGTAATATACTAAGACCTGAATAACAAAGAAGTCGTGTACATCAAGGTTCACTCAGATTTATGAATGCAGTTTCTTGAGCAAGTATACATGTATGACAAATAGTTTTGTTGCACTTGTGTACTCTGAGATTCTGAACATGGGTCAGTGGAAGTTTTTAGTTGTCAGTACAAAACTAGATCATGGGAAATCACTTTATGATGAGTTGTACCCACATAGAATACATATTCATTCACCCGTTTGCAGATGTTCCTTGTACTACCTTATAATCAAATAACGGGGACTGTGACATTTCATGTCTTGTTCACATCTGTATTGCATTTTAGTCAAAATCCTAATAGGGATACGAACGCAATAAAGATAATTATTATTATTATTGTGACATATTTATACACAAATGTATAGAATATATATATAATTATAGATATTTTTGGACAAATTAGGAATGTTGGATTGCATTCATGGGTTTGTCTGTTTACATTTCACAGTCATGTGACATAAGTTTGTCACACTGCATACAATGATAGCCAACTGGTGGTCACTTGTCATATCATAAACTTGTTATATTTTGTATTAATGTTAGCACACATCTATATAACCTGGTACTGTTTTTTTATAGTTATGCAGTTATAAATAAATGTTCATGATTTTCCCACTCAGTCACCCAAGATCTTCAGGCAGCAGTATCTAAACTACAGTCTAGAGTGATCGCATTAGAGAAAGGCAGTCCTGCTGCTTCATCTCCAGCACCAGTAAGTGGTCCTAGATGCTAAAAACTTCAATTAGTAACCAACTTGTGATTTGGATATATAGCAATTATCGGGGGATATGAACACCATAACGCAACATTTGTTTTATTATCGATACACATAATACTTAACATGACAAAATCCTAAAACTACATGTTGCTGACAATGAAACAACCCAAACCAAATAACTTTCACAGTGGCAGTGTACACAATTACCACAATCTTATTTCAATCATTGGTTTCTTTGTGACACATCCTTCAAAAATAATAAGTGGTCATCTTGAAGTTGTGATTAAATTCTTCTTTTGAATGTACATATATGTAGTATTGACTGATGGAATACATTATGTATAGAGGTAATGTTTGTTTCATTGTTAATGGTTGTATATGTAGACTATAGCTATTTTGATTATAAATTGAAATGTTTCTTTCAAGGCTACAAAGGTTGAGGAAAAGGAAGAAAATGGTGAGGAAGAAGAAGATGATGATGACAACGACGATGATATTGATCTGTTCGGTTCTGATGACGTAAGTACTTCCTGGTAAATGTGATGGTGGTGGTTAGCTTGGTAGATGTGGTGGTAGTTGCCATGGTGAATGTGGTGGTGGTTTACTTGGTAGATGTGGTGGTAGTTGCCATGGTGAATGTGGTGGTGGTTTACTTGGTAGATGTTGGTAGATGTGGTGGTAGTTGCCATGGTGAATGTGGTGGTGGTTTACTTGGTAGATTTGGTAGTAGTTGCCATGGTGAATGTGGTGGTGGTTTACTTGGTAGATGTGGTAGTAGTTGCCATGGTGAATGTGGTGGTGGTTTATTTGGTAGATGTGATAGTAGTTGCCATGGTGAATGTGGTGGTGGTTTACTTGGTAGATGTGGTAGTAGTTGCCATGGTGAATGTGGTGGTGGTTTACTTGGTAGATGTGATAGTAGTTGCCATGGTGAATGTGGTGGTGGTTTACTTGGTAGATGTGGTAGTAGTTGCCATGGTGAAAGTGGTGGTGGTTTACTTGGTGGATGTGGTAGTAGTTGCCATGGTGAATGTGGTGGTGGTTTACTTGGGAGATGTGGTAGTAGTTGCCATGGTGAATGTGGTGGTGGTTAACTTGGTAGATGTGGTGACTGCCATGGTGAATGCGATGGTGGTTAGCTAGGTAGATGTGGTAGTTGCCATGGTGAATGCGATGGTGGATACCCTGGTAGATGTGGTGACTGCCATGGTTGAATGCGATGGTGGTTACCCTGGTAGATGTGGTGGCTGCCATGGTGAATGTGATGGTGGTTACCCTGGTAGATGTGGTGACTGCTATGGTGAATGCGATGGTGGTTACCCTGGTAGATGTGGTGACTGCCATGGTGAATGTGATGGTGGTTAACTTGGTAGATGTGGTGACTGCCATGGTGAATGCGATGGTGGTTACCCCTGGTAGATGTTGTAGTTGCCATGGTGAATGTGGTGGTGGTTAGCTTGGTAGATGTGGTGGTAGTTGCCATGGTGAATGTGGTAGTGGTGCTTAACTTGATAGATGTGGTGACTGCCATGGTGAATGCGATGGTGGTTACCCTGGTAGATGTGGTAATGATGGTAACCTTGGTAAATTTATCTTATTTCTGTTCATTAAATAATGTGTTTTATCAAAAAGGATGAAGAAGCTGAGAATGTGAAGCAAGAACGTTTAAAAGCATATGCTGATCGCAAAGCTAAGAGTAAGTGAATTATGTATAGTAATTAGTATCTTCTAGCTTGATCCTGTCTTGTTTCTGAGCTTCCTTGTGCTTCCCATGTTAGCCAGTGGAATTCATATTTTTGACAGTACGCTAGTGTGAAAGTGAGTGGGTGCATTATGGGTTCCCTCTATTATTGGGTTTATTAGTCCCTATTCAGTCGTAGTTTGAAAACAAAGACTTATAATTTCACTACTGTGCATACCTGATTTCATTCAAACTTCAAACACACGTCGCACATATCGCACATATGCACATGCATTTGTTTCATGATCCAATTTAATGGCTGAATGGCGACCATTTTAGTGCTATAAAAAAATGTACCATAATCAAGCATTTGTGTATTCTGGAAACAGACCTCAGTCATACATGGACATTTTTATTTCAAACTTGCTATATGTCCTTGATGCATGTCAGACTGGTGGACATTCTGTTTTAAGAAATGTAATTCCAAGGTCATATCTCTGACCTGCTTTGACTGATCACATTCAACCTTGAAACCTACACCACACATCATATTATACATAAGCGCATGCATTTATTTCATGATGGCCAAATGGCCGCCATTTTAGTGGTGAAAAATTAATCAAAAGCAAGTATTTCTGCCATTCCAACTGGATTTTGGTCATGCATGGGCATATTTCATTCAAACTTGGTATTTCTGTTGAACATAATGGGTCCTTGATGCACATCATTTCCAGATTGGATTGAAAATGGCCTACTGGTGGCAATTTTGTTTTAAAAAAATGCAGTTCCAAGGTCATGCATGTACAGTACTCATTCCGCCCAACCTCCTGCTTTTATCGCTTTTTTTCCGATAGCTTATCGCTTAATTTCCGACCAGAAACCGAGCGCTTTTTTCCCCGCGCGTTCGCTTTTGTTCGCTTGCTCGCTTTTATTCGCTCGCTCGCTCCTGCTATGGCTGGCTTCAGAAACATCGTCCGCTTGCCAACCGACCGCTGGAGTAACAATGATCGTACATTGTACAGTACAGTTCTCGCGGAAGCTTTGGCTTTTGTGGCATCATTGTCGCCTACGCATGGCTTCATTGTCGCCTCAGCATCGCATCATTGTGGCATCAGCTTCGCGTCATTGAAAATTGAAGCTGTGTTCGCCTCGCTATTTTGTGGCATCATCGTGGCCTCAGCTTCGCAGTCTCATGGCATCAACATGGCATCAGCTTCAACTTATTGTGACATGAGTATGACCTCATTATTTGCACGCAGAAG